ATGAATGTCTGGTATCAAGGATGTTGGGAAAGTCTGGGATACTTGAACTCCACTGAACCCCTCAAGCAAAAGACCTTAATTATCCAAGGTATTTAATACTATAAAGTTGTCATAGAGCACAGCTTAGCCTAAACAAATGATATAAGACTTGCAGGAAGTACTACATCTCTCCCCTTTCTTCCCTCATCACTAGTTTTAGCCAGCCAGGCATCCTGAACTGATGAAAAGGAACTCACTTAATAAGGTAAAATCACAATTTTTTTGGTTTTCTAAGGGACATTTTGGTGCCAGTACCTTTGCTCCTAGAGACAGGGCCAGCTTCATGGACAGGCAATCTGTGCAGTCACTTAGGGGCTCACACATAAAAGGGTCTTGTACTTGGTTTAATGTTCTATTTAATTCTTGAAATTCTGAATAATTTATGATCAAGAAGTCCCGCACTTTCATTTTTCCCTGGGCCTGCCAAATTATGTAGCAGGTCCTACCTGGAGATTCTTAACAGCTCTGGTTACCCAATGAGAAGGCAAAATGTCTGGCTACCTTCCTAGCCCTACCTACCTGCTGTCTGCTGACCCAAAGGGCTATGTAGAGCAATTGTCTGTTTTTCCTGAGAGAAGACAAAGGATGCTTGCAGCAGTTCTTGCTTCTGTGGAATGTACAGGTCCTCATATAACTAGCTTAAGCTAAGTGGCACTAACAGAGTGTCGGTACAGGAGAAGGAAACACTGTCCTACGCAGCTGATGACTGAAGTTCACTTCATCAGAGGAGGTGATCTTCAAGGTCGCAGGAGATTTTAAAAAGTGAGATTTAAATGGGATTTTAAAAAGTGGATATGAAGTGTAGACTGGTATATGGACCTAAAATAAAATAAAAACTGCCATCAATGTGATAAAGACCTAAGATCTAGTCCAACTTAGCCAAATTAGAAAGGAAAATTGGGAGATGAAGATGGAAAGATGGTTTAAGAGACCCAGGGACCCTCTCTTTCAATCACCATTATTGCTCCATATGATAATTACTTGTTTGTGTGTGTGTGTCTCTCTCTACTAGAATGTATCATGTTTTTATATGTTTTATTCCTCTTAACCTAGTAACTGGGACATTATTCAGTAAATGCTTGCTGCATGAGTTAATATTGTGGAGATCTAAAATGTTACCCTGGGAAGTGACTGCCTAATTCAGTAGGAAATAGGAAAACCACTGAAGGATTTTGAATGGAGAGACTTTATTTTGTGTTAAGAAGACGAGTCTGTAAAGATGGTGGAATGGCTGATTGGCAAGGGGAAGAGATCCAGGGTCAGAGAGCTGTTGGGAGGTTCATAAGGTGATCCTGCCTTTGAGTGCTTGCAGCACCAAACAGGATGACTGACTGGAAAGGAAAGAAGGCAGAAGTGTTTCAATAAATCAACTTTTTTTTTTTTTTTTTGGTGGTGCTGGGGATTGAACCCAGGGCCTTGTGCATGTGAGGCAAGCACTCTACCAACTGAGCTGTATCCCCAGCCCAATAAATCAGAAGAATAAAAAGAAAATGACAAAGAAGCAGATGACAAAAACATCAGAGAGCTGGGACATGGCAGCTGAGTAGAAGGGTGGAGGGAAAGGAAGGGCTCCAAAAGAATGGAGCCCCCTGAAAGAAAACAAGAACTTTGGGAGAAGGAACTTTTGAGGGATAGAGATCAGGGTTATTTGTTTCATAAAGCAGTTGAACGAGTTCCAATCCCCAGATGGATTTAAAAGAGCACCACTGATGGAAAAGTTTCCAAGAACAAAAGTGATGTTCCTGAAGACCAAGTAATTAAAACTATCTATTTTGGACTAGACAGGTTTTCCTGATCTCTAGACTCAGAACTAGCTGGGCAGCTCTCAAGACATGTGGTTCTCCCTAATCAGATGAACCAATTTGGAGGAGAGGAAGTTACTTGGACTGGGAGTATAGACCCATGGTAGAGGAGGTGCTTAGCTTGAGTGGGTCCTTTGGTTCAATCCACAACACCTAAATAAATATAAATAAATCTTCCCCAGGGGATTCTGATGCATGGCTCACCCCACACTGGATAACCCCAACCCACTTCAAACAGGCCGGGTAACTTCTGTTAGCCTTAAAAGGGTGATTGCAGATTCCAGTTTTCCTTCTACCCTGGCAGGGAGTATAAGTCTGGCAGATTGGCAGCTGTTCCAAATGTCCTCCCCCACCCATACTGGATGATTACATGAGCTGAATGTAATCATTCACAGCCCTTGTCTTTACAGCTGGCATGTCACTTAGCTTAATTACAGCACACAGTGGTATTTCAACTTGAGGAATCTAAAAATGCAATAAAATGGGTTTTGCAAATTGTTAGGAAGGCAATGAAGACCTTGAAACTGCAATTGACTAAGCATTACTTTCAATTATTTTGCTCTCTCCAGCCATGATTCTAAGTTATTAACTAGCAGCCTGGGAAAGCCAAACAAGCAATGTGTCATATGGAGGGTATTTCACGTCTCTTGGATGCACACTGTGTGCTGGGGAGGGACTGGTGGCTCCAGGAGTTGCCTCAGGGTGGGAGGGGATGATCTCAGCATATGTTCTTCCTGCCAATCATGCTCCCACCACAGCTCTTCCCCATGAGAATTCTGACTGGTCTGAGGTGACCTTCAGTAAGAACCTCCCTTCCCCTTTGCTCCCATGTCTATCATTGACCCCAGAAAACATGAGAAAAGAAATGTGGGAAAGCAAAGCAAATCCTTTCAAGATCACGGATCAGTGCCTGGTTTCTCTATCTCATTTCTTTTCTTGGCTTACTTCCTGATTCCTCTTAGTGCTTGGTTCTGTACTCCTTGGGCAGCCATTTTAAAGGGGGAAAGGCTGTAGTTGGGGATGTAGCTCAGTGGTAGAATATTTGCCTGGCATGCATGAGGCCCTGGGTTCAATTTCTAATACTGCAGAAAGACTGAGGGTACCCCTCCTCTGCCCTACTTACACAAGCCTAGGAGTCATTACAATAATGAAATGGGACCTGTTCATCTGAGAAAGGGGCAGAAGTGGCAGGATGTTGGAGGAAGCAGGCAGCACTGAGATGTTCTTCTTGCCTGGAGCAACACCAGCTTGGAGCCAGCCTGGTATTCTGGTTCTAGTAATCAGGACCAGAATCCTGGTAATCAGGAGCAGAATGCCAGCTGCCTCAGCAGTCATGCCAAGCGGGAGAGCAAACACCAAAATCCTGTTTGCAAAGCCAGCAAGACCAGCAAGGCCATCACAATGTGGCCAAAGCAAACAAGGACTGAGACAGCCCTGCTGCGGTGGACTCTCACTTCCCCTTGGATGTTGCCAAGAGTTAGAATGAGCCAGCTAAACTCACTCGTCAAGAAATCCAGTGGCCATGGGGTGTCTCATACCCATTCTAGGGCTGGACTCCAAGCTGGACCCCTGCCCTCCTTGCTGAGGTCTCCTTTCAGTTTGGCCCATGCCAAAGAAAAGCTAATAATGATAAACCATTTCCACATGTTATTTATTCTTCCAAGCAGTTCTGTGAGATCAATATTATCCCATTTTACAGAAGCAGAAACTGAGGCTTGGGAACATAAGGATACAGAGGCAGACCTTGGTCTTGGGCCTCTAACTTGGTGTCTGCTCCATTTCTCAATCCCTCCATCCTTTCACCTCTCCACCCCAAACTCTGTCAATTCCCACAGTCCCTTCACAGGCAGAGGTCCTCCAGTCTGAGTGGGACTTGAGTTCTTTTTTTCTATTTCATAGCTGAGAAACAGAAACTTAAGGAGGGGCAGTTATTTTTGTTTTTAAACCAGGAAACAGCTAGTTGAGATCCCTAATTTTGTCTACCACACCTCCAATACAAATAGAACTCCAGAGAGAAGAATGTTTACAATTAAAAAAAATTCTTTGGATATTTCAATAGTACGTCTCCCTGTTTATTTAAACATGAAAGATCTGAATCAATACCTCCAGTTTTCATGTCATAACTTGACTGTTTTGACATAGCTTGAACAGGCCCCCTTTATGACCTGCAGCCCCTCGCTGTCTCTAGGGTGCAATGTGCCTATGAAAAGTCAAACTCCTTGCCACTTGGTTAGGAACTTTAATGAGGAGATGCACAGTAGCTATATTCATATCTAGTGGAAGGCCTGGGCTTCTGCTAAGCGAAGATGATTATTTGAGATTCGGATTGAAGAGAGGGAAGAACAGGAAAGAAAAATCATTCACTGGATTCAGTGTCAATTAATTAGTTCCTCCCGGCCCCCAGGGTTTTCATTTGCTCTGCTTCTAGGGAAAATGCCATTCCTTAATAGTGGGAAAATGTAGATGGGGCGGACTTAGGTGACTTGTGGGTCGTCGGGGCTTCCCAAAAAAACAGCTCAGAGGTCTGTGTGGGGTTGCCTCAGAGGTTCTGTTAGAGAAGGCATGCTTCCGAAAAACTCAGCCTGACTATTTTCTCAGAATTGGAGATCAGGACGCACAGAGGAAAAAAAGGCTTCATGGAGGGGGTCGTGGGGGTAAGTCTCCCCGCGTCCACGTTGCTGTTGCAAGCTACTTGAAGGAATACGGCTGACCCGGGATGCTGTGCCTCCGCGCTCCAGTTAGAGAAAGACTCCGTGTGGGCAGCTACTTTCTGAGAACGTACAGGACGTTGTGCCTTGCAGGCAGAGGGTCCCGTCCAGGCAGGGTCCCGGCGGCGTCTGCTGGAGTTTTCCAGCTAAAACCTACTGTCTGGCACCGCAAGGTGGCTGCAGGCATCGCGGGGCCAAAGGGCGTCCCCAAGGAGCTCCGCTTTCGCCCCAGCCGGGTCGGCCAGACTGGAAGAAGTAGGACAGTAGTCCCTGTAGAAATGCTCAGGGAAGGGTCAGACAATGGGTTATCAAGCGAAGCTTCCCTCTGACCACTCGTCCCCAGAATTATCGCACTGGAATGCCCAAAGCCGCAAAGGGCATAAAATGGGCTTAGGAACCCGCGCCCCTGCTGCTTACGTGGCGCGTATTATGTGCTAAGCACTGGAGCAAAGCGCTTAAGGGAGTCCTGTTATCCTTCAAACACCTTATAAGGGATACACCAGCCCCATTTACAGATGAAAAAACTGCCCCCAAGAGATGGTGTAAGTCAGAATGTGTTTGAAGCGAGAGGGAACACGGCAGTGATTTCGCTACCCGCCCTTCCCTGACCACAGTTGTTTGAAGTTGACCTGAAGACACAGCATTTCTAATATGTACATCAGTGTAGCCATGCAGGGGAGCAGAGCTGCACATTCCAGCGTGGTCATCCCCATTCTGTCGCTGCTCCCATTAGGACTTCCAGTGATCACTTTTCAGTATAGGAAACTGTGGCTCCGTGAAGTCCAGCTCATAGCTAATACAGAAGACAGCTCCAAAGATTTGCAACTTCTGAGTCGCAAATCCAGGGACATCTGAGTTTTCTGCTCTTCCTCTGAAATTCCATCTGCAGAGGAAATGGAATGTTGAAAAGGGGCTGTTGTTAGGAGCATGGCGGCCCACACAAGGGGGCTTCACTCCGATCTACCTCTACTCAGAGCAGTTTAATCATTTCGTGTGGAGAACTATTTGCTGGAAAAGGGCACCTGAGCTCTTTCCCTTTCTCCGGCCTTCTCTCCCTCCCTCCCTTCCTTGCTTCCTCCTACCTACCCCCATTCTTCCCACTCAGGGGTTTGTGAAGAAGAGCTGGTTGGGTGTGATTCTTTCCTTTAATGAACTTCTCAGACTCTAGTCCCTTGGCTAGGACTGGGAATGTGTAAAATGACCATTGTTTTTCTGGGTAACAGACAGTTTAGTCTTGGCAAGATCTAAGAAGAAGCTGAGGCAGGCAGAACTTTTTTTTCCCACTAAGTGCTAGGCTGTGTTGTGGTAGGCATGCCACTGCATTGATTTGAATCTGGCATCAACTCCGTAGTTGTTATTATATTATGGGGATACTATTCTCAGGGAGATAAAGACACTTGCTGGAGCCTGAAACTGGCAGGATGTGGGATCAGAGGGGGTCTATATTCAGTTTACCCAACCTCATAGCTCCTTCTCTCTGCTCTGCTGGCCAGTGACACAAAAATGGTTTGGCAATGGGAGTCAAAACAGGTTCCTCACAATGTCTTCAACATCAAGAAGGATGGCAGCAGCAACCATTCTCTTAAAGTTTAGTAACTAAGTTTCTTATTTGTGGGGGGTGGATTTACTGGGGATTGAATCCAGGAACATTTTACCACTAAGCCACATCTCCAGCCCTTTTTATTATTTTGAGACTGGGTTTTGCTAAATTACTAAGGCTGTTTTGAACTTCCAATCCTCTTGCTTCAGCCTCCTGAGTGGGATTATAGGCATATGTTTAGGCCCCTACTTAAAGAGTGCAGATTTCCACTCTTGTCCTAGGGGAAACTCACTGCTCCCACCCTTAACCCTCCTAATATGCCTGGTCTCCCTTCAGAGAAACTTTTTTTTACATGATTCTTTAAAAAATGGGAACCTGCCCTTTTTGCTCCCCTCCTCCTTTCATACTTACTCACCATTTTCATTGTAAGGTTTCCACAAACAACATCCCTTGGGATGTTCCTTTTTCCGCCTCAAGTGGGCAGCAAGGCAGCCTAATGGAAGGCCAGTGCTGGTTTCCAGGGGGATGGGGTGGGGGGATTGGATTTCGGGACCTCCCCTCCTTCCAGAATCCCGCCTTTACTCCCTCCCTCTCTTTGTCACCCCCTGGACTTTCTCGTCCCACCAGTTTCCAAAGTGCAGAGGATGTTTACCCTGCGGAAAGAGGCCGGGATGGCGCTGAGGTCAGAAGCCTGATTCACTACCGGGAGACACCCGAGCCCGGCCTCCAGCGGCCCAAGCTCTGCGGAGGGTGGAGACCGAGGCCCTACCCTGCCCGGCCAAGAAATGCCCCCGCCTCCCAGGCATCCCTACTGCGACCCCACTCTCTCTCCCAAAGGCTCCCCTCCAAGTAGAACTCCTCCGAGGGGACACTGGGTGCTCCCGGCACCCAACCCCGCCCTGTCACTGCCACCGTCTGTCCGGGATCGGGATCGAGGTTCAGGGCTGGGGAGGAGAAGGTAGTTTGCAAAATAAGGCTTGTAGGAGCCGTTCTGGAGCATTCCCTGCCCCCGCAGGCCCCCTTTACCCCACTCTTGAGGAGGAAGAAGCAGGAGACAGAGAAAAACCAAGATACATGCTGTGTCCCACCAGCCAGGAGTTGGGGTTCAAGGGGCTTGGAAGTGAGCATGGAAGAAAGGGAAGTTCAGTCTCCCCCTCTTTCCATCCGTGTTTTGTAGCGAGGCCCCCCCCCCAGCCTCAGAACCACGACAGGATTAATAATTCAACAGCTACCCCCTTCCCTTTTCTTCCACCTGGGGCTCGGAGCCCAGATGCTCTGAGGTCCCAGGTGGAGTCAGTTGAGCGGATTGGGCAGCCACTCCCTGCCCGCACCACCCCAACCCTGGCCAACGCCTGTTGCAGCGCGTCGGCTCGGCCCCAGTCTGACCCCGGCGCACTGATAAGCCCCCAGACGACCAAACATCGTTAACTTCTTTGCCTTTCTAGACTTCTCTGCTTGTCCCTTCCCCGACCCCTGGGCCGGGGGTCGCCTGGGGTGTCTCTGTACTTTCCTAGGCCTCTGGACTCCAGTATACCATAGTGCTCTCCTTCGCCAATACAACTTTCTGCCTTTGGCCCCCTGCTCTCCATTTTACTCCCCCCCCTTCAGTTTCTGCCCAAATTTCTGGGTCACCTAATTGTGCTGAAATAGGGCCCCCTCACCATCTTCTCCACCATAACTCACCTTGCCCATGTGGACACTGCCTCTGAGTAGCTTCAGGAAACAGTAAAAACTAAGAGACAGAAAGGAGAAATTGATATCAGAGAATGTCAACAAAGGTTTCAGAAACTGAAGCTTAAAATCCCTCTCAATCCAACCCTGACTATGGGGGTGTTGGGGGGAAGGATTGAACTGCCTACTGAGACTGAAGAGCCAAATGATGTTCTCAAGTCATTTTTCTTTGCTTCTTCAGGTTTTGTTCACAATCAAATGAGGATCCGACTGATGAGAGAGAGTCTACACTTGAAGCAACTGTTGCTAGGCAACAGCAGGATAATCAGGGTTTCCCCCTGGCATCATGAAGTGTAGACAGTGCCTGTGTAGGTCAAGGTCCCAGGTTTTAAGATTATCTGTCCAGCGTGGAGGGAACTGTCATTAGAAATCTGGTCTTTCGCTATAGCTGCTCGCTTCAGGGGTCCCCACTCTGTCACCCCTGTAACACTCACTGGTTCTACTCTCAGGCAGATTCTTTTTCCACTTATTCTCTGTTGGCCCCACACTTCAGGGATGGGTTAAGGGCCATTTCTGGTAGATGTCTTCTGGCAATAATAATGATGATGATTATCATCTGAATAATTTTTAAACAAAAACTTTAGAATTTAATTTACTAAATCCACATTTCCAGGTTGTGGCTCAGTGGTAAAGTGCTTACCTAGCACGTCTGAGACACCGGGTTCGAGTCTCAGCACCACATAAAATAAATAAATAAAATAAAGGTATTAAAAAAATAAATCCACATTTCACTTCCAACAATTCTAAGGGGTAAAATTTAACAAAATCTTGGGGGAAAGTATAAATGTGTTTCAAACTTCAAGCGCTGTTGAGGAGCTATTTGGTGTAGAGTGTTAGCAAGTTGCTCTACCTGCTCAGAAAATGTTAGCGACTTCCTCTCCTCTCCTCACCTGGAGAAACCAAACCCTCTTTGAACCATGGAACACTGTAAGGCTGCAATTCTCCCTTGACCTGCCTTCCAAAAACTTGCCTTCGTGTGTTTTTGCCCTGATTCTCATGTTGGCCAGGTGGGTAGAATAAACAACACAAAGCATTTTGTCTTCCAAAGAATTTCTAAAAGTGGTGGGAATGTGGGATTGAGGCATAAACCCCCGCAAAGTTCTGGAACAACTCCTTGTTAGTGGAAAATCCGGTGCCTTTGAAAAAGCCTGACTTTGCGATGGACCCTGGGAACAGGGATCTCTCTCCTGGAATTCTGGGGAAGGTTCGCTGAACACCGAGTCCCAGAAGCTGGCAGAGCCTCTGGGATCCCTGGGATGGCATCCCTCCGACCTTTCAATTTCCTGCCTCACAGGCAACTCCAGCCCCGCGGATCCCCCAGACCCAGTCCTTGCTGTCCTTGGAGAATGTAAATAGGTTGGTGATGATCTCTAGGTCCTGGTTCCGCGAGGGGAGGCAGGCTGCTTTCAATTCACTGGTAACTAGAGGCCAAGGCGAGATAGACAGACGCCCCCCTTCCCCTGCTGGAAGTGGAATCTGGAAAAGCCCCTCTGCCTGGTTCCTGAGGGGCCATATCTTAGACCTTATCCTCATTTGCTTCCAGCGGGTTAACCTGAGGCTTCTGGGCGAGAATTTAGAGACCTGTGGAGGGGAGTTTGCCCTGGGATGAGGAGGTTTAGAGCACAGGCGCTGAGGGTGGGTGAGGGAGCTAAAGACTGGATTCTGTACAAAGTCTTTTTCATTCACAGTTCAACGTGGGACTTTTCTGTGTCTTTTCATTTAAAGAGAGAGGAGAGGAGAACTGTTAACGAATAACAAACCTCTCCTAATTTCCCCATAAACCAGAATTCCACCAGGGGGAGAGAATCCAAGTGGGCAGTCGTCTATTCCTTTCATTCTGTCCTTAACCTCTCTGGAGCAATTGTCGGCAAAGCTCCAATACATGTAACATGGAGAAAATTTTACATCTACAGCAGGTATGAACTTTAGTTACCAAACCACAATTTCGCATTTTAGCAAAATATCATAAAACAAGTTAGTAACAATTTGAATGTAAAAAAAATTAAAAAAAAAATAGAAGGTCACAAATAGCTCTCCAAAAAAGGTCATACAACCTCCCCCATGCACACAATGGGTTTTGAATCCAGGACCTCACACACATCAAGGCAAGCATTCTAACCACTGAGTTTGCAGTGGACCCTGGGAACACTGAGCTACATCCCCAGCACACAAATTTATTTTAACACTATGAAAATACTATGTGTTCAACTTCTATGAAAATTAGAAATGTACAACCTTAGCCGGGATCAGTGGACATGCCTATAACCCTACTTATCATGAGCGGAAGGCAGAAGGACTGAAAGTTTGAGGCCAGCCTGGACAGTTTAGTGAGACCCTGTCTCAAATTTTTTTTAATTATTATTATTATTATTTTTTTTTTACAAAGGACCGGGGAGATAGCTCAGTGGTAGAGTGCTAGAGCACTTGGCTAATCTGCAGGAGGCCCTGAGCTTAATCCCCAGTACTGCTAGAAAACAAACAAACAAACAAACAAAAAACCCCACAATTTAAAAAATATTGCTCATTTAATAAGAATACATCATAGAGAAGTGTACATATACACAGAATAGTGTATATGGTGTGCATCAGCAGAAAAAAAGAGGAAAGGAAAATTGGAAATAATTTAAACATCTCTCAATAATTCAATATCTCTCATCTAATTAAATAACGGCACATCTATACAATAAACTGGAGCCATTAAAAAAGAGGAATTAAGTTTTAAGCACGTGAAGTTTTAAAATAAAAGTTCTGAGGCAGGAGGACTGCAAATTCAAGGTTAGCAACTTAGTGAGGCCTGAAGCAACTGGGGGTATAACTCAGTGGCAAAGTGCCTCTGGGTTCAGTCTCCAGTAATAATAATGAAAGTCAAGCCAGTTGTGGTCCCGCACTCCGGTAATCCCAGCAACTCAGGAGGCTGGGGCAAGGAAGATCACAAATTGGAGCAGGAGGCCAATTTGGGAAATAGAGATCTTGTCTCAAAATAAATAAGAATAAGAATGGCTAGCAGCTGGAGTTCTGGCTCAGTGGTAGAGTGCTTGCTTAGCATGTGAGAGGCACTGGGTTTGACTCTCAGCACCACATACAAATAAAATGAATAAAATAAAAGTCCATCAACATCTTAAAAAAAAAAAAGAAAAAAGAATGGCTAGGGATGCAGCCTTGGGTTCAATCCTCAGGATTGGTGGTGGTGGTGGGAGTAAAAGTAAAAACATAAAGCTTTGAATATGATATGCTGCCATTCGTGTTAAAATGCTACATTTACACACACCTCTGTGGTGATGATCTGGAAGGGGAACTGAGAGAGGAGATACTGAGAACTGAGAGAGCAGTACTGGGGATTGAACCCAGTGCTACTCTATTACTACGTCCCCAGCTTTTCTTTTCTTTTTTTTT